CCTTCCCCTTCCCCTTCCCCTTCTCCTTCTCCTTCCCCTTCTCCTTCCCCTTCCCCTTCCCCTTCTCCTTCTCCTTCCCCTTCTCCTTCCCCTTCCCCTTCCCTCCCCTCTATGTGATAGCAGTGACACATTTGTCTGCTTAAATGCTGAGCAAGGTGAATCCTAAGGAGAAAGGTGTGAATGACTGCCAGCAGAAGTTTAGAGGTTGTTATTAAGTGTGTGTCCTACAAAGAAAAAAAATGGTAAATGTTAATTATTTCTGCACTGTAGCTCCAGAAAAGGGCAATGCATTTAAACAACATTTGAGAATGTGGTCTATCTGCCAGCTTCAAACCACCCCAGTTGGCAAGCCTCCTAATTTGGGGGAGGCTGAGATGTCATACAGCAAAGGAGGTCTGAACAGTAAGCAAAACACACTGAGACCTTAGTTTCAGTTCTGCTTTGTCTTGCAGCCCAGTCCTTTTCTAGACTTTGAACTTGCCACAAGCACACACAGTGCTCAATTTAAGGACTGGTTGGTAGGCAGGATGTGCTGCAACTGCCAGAAGAGATTAATTGAAAGAGAAGTATAAATGAACACCTTGAAAGAGAAGTATAAATGAACACCAGTAGCTGTGCGCACACACACACGCATAGTGTTATCAATTTAACTACTTCAATTTAGAAAAGATTGAAATAAATTGGCACAATCTTTTTGGACAGATTAGAATCCACACGCCTTGGGCTTGTCAGGTACAAAGAGAGTGTTTGATCTGCACTACCACCAAGAAAAGGAAACTGCAGCTGTGACTCTACGAGTTATAAGACATAGTTACAAGAAAATAGGCATAAAAATAGCCATGAGCTGCCCGTATTTTTTGCAGAAATTACCTCTCCATGCATTGTACTAAATTTAGTTGTAGCTGATGGCAATTTTATGGTAGCAAAGTAATTATTTTGTTTTACTATCAATATTGTCAAGAGTTCACATCAGATGATTTACCACAATGCAAAAAGAATTTAACAAGTACAACTCTGTAGTCATTGAATTCTGACTATTACGTAATTCCTAAGATTTCATGGACATCAGTATTATGTGTACTCAGCATACAGGTAAGAGACAGAAGCAGAAATTTGTTACTGTTTCAAAGAGAAGAACAAGGAAATAACTTGATGTAGATTGAAGCACAGAATCGTGGAGTTATGGTTTGGGTTGGAGGGAACCTCACAGCCCATGCTGCCCCAACCCCTGCCATGGGCAGGGCTGCCCCCCACCAGCTCAGGCTGCCCAAGGCCCCATCCAACCTGGCCTTGAGCCTCCAGGGATGGGGCACCACAGCTTCTCTGGGCAGCTGTGCCAGCGCCTCACCGCCCTCTGGGGAGAGAATTTCTGCCTAACATCCAATAGTGTATGATAATACTAAAACTATTAATGTGATATATAATATGTAATATATACTAATCATACTTTTTTCTGTCTTTGAAGGAGCTGGAGTGAGAAACATGTGTCCATATGCTGGTGGAAGCGTCCACCCTACTGCAGAGCCTTTGGCTGAAGCAGTGTAGAGATGGGTGTCATGGGAGTCATTCCTCTCAGCCTACAGCAGACCAGATGAACTTACTTCTCCACGTTTTTCACTCCCAGGTATCCAAAAGGACATCACCCGGTGTTTTATTTGCTCAGTCAATTTGAGCAGAGATCAAACATTGATCTTTCCAAGAAGGTAGAAAACCACGGCTTTGTCAAGTGTGACTAAATAGGAAGTTACGATGGCAACAGCTGCTCAGTCTGACCTCTCGTGTAAGTGCTGCCACAGGCATTCATGAACACATTTAGTAAAAGAGGGAAAAACGGTGCTTGTTAAATTGATCTATCTGTGTTAGCTATTCCGTATGAAAGTGCTGGCAGTCAGAGATTGCTGCTCTTAATGCCACAGTGAGAGCCGCCATCCCCTGCAGTGCTGAACCCAAATCACAGACTTAATCTGGGAGTCCCTGAGGAAAAATGGGGAAGTTCCAAGAACACAGAGAGCTAGTGGAGGGCAAGTGTCCATGGGCTGTGTGCTTCTCCAGTATTCAGTCCCAGCACTTGGGAAATGCTTGAAGGCAAACAGAAAAGCGGATATTTCATGGAGTTAGTTTATGTAACTTGGAGGATTCATGTGAATGTCACTGCTGACTTTTGCTTTCATTTTCAGGATTGCTGAATTTTATGCCTGCAAACCCTTCATTTTAAAGTCAATTTCAAATCTTGCAACAAAAGAGGGTTTCTGTCACTGTGTTTATAGTCAGTAAGAGACAAGGTTACCCCTGAGCTGCATAACAAACTGATACAACATCCCACACACCCTGGTTTCCTTCTCACGAGACTTAGCTCCTCAGACAACAAGCAAATACATCACTTGCTTGGAGAGGACTTTCACTTCCTTCTGATGTACACTACTTCAAGAATGATTAAACTGTGGCCTTATTTTGCAAAATGCATTTCTGCTTCACCCGGCAGCTCCCAGTGGCTGCTGATGGGGCTGTGCACTGTGACACCAGCGCTGGCTGAGCTGCAAGGCTGCAAGGATGCCCATGAATGTCCCAGAGGGTGCAAGTGAGACACTTTTGCCTCCTCTCTGCTCAGAAGGATGTGGCATGGGGCTCGGCACTACACTTTTGGAGAAGCTAGCACAACCTCAGTCTCTCCCTGCCATCTCCCCAGGAACACACAGTGCATTACAACTTTGGGCATCAGTGCTCCTCTTCTTGCCTAAAAATAGAGCTGGAATGGGACTGTTTGAGACCCAGCCTTATGGTAAACAAGGAAATTGAGCACACAGCCACACAAAGCTTTGTTTATTTTTCTGTCAGGATATGTAAACTGTTAAAATATATTGACTGTAGTTCATTATTTTGGAGCCAATTCCCAACAAGTTTAAGAAAACCTTCTGTTGCTGGGCTGCTCCAGCACACTGCAAATCCCAAAGGCTACTTGCACGGTTACAGGCTTTACTGCAGCAGGCATTTTGATTCATTTAGCACACAAGGTAAAAGTTGTGTAGCTCTATGCCAACTAGTATAAGCATTTATATTGTGATTGCCTAAGATTGTCCATTACAACCTAATTTTCAATTGTCTATGGGGTTTTTATGTCAGATTGAAAGTAGAAATCCATTTTCAAGGACAAAAAAAACACCCAAATAGCCCAGCCTTTAAAAAATACAGAAGCAGTGCCAGACTAGGTAATGTTAAGCACATTCTTCTTTAAATTTATGTTGCTCAAATGTTTCTATTTACAAATGGACATCACCAACGGTGAGCTTATTTTATCTTCTGTTTTCTCTAAGGAAGCTCTTTCATGGATTAGACAGACTTGTAAGTCTTCAATAACTTCTTTCTAGGCACATGGTGACCCAGAGCCACACAGAACATAGCATGCTGGACGTGTCACAAAGAGCCACTCAGGTTGGATGGATGCTCAACCTCACCTGGAGCACTGGTTGCAGGTTTGATCAGCACAACATAACAAGGACATAAAGCTATTCGAGAGTGTCCAAAGGAGGGTAACAAAGATGGGGAGGGATCTAGAAGATGTATGAGGAGCAGCTGAAGCCCCTCGGTGCGCTCAGAGCAGAGCAGAGGAGCTGAGGGGAGGCCTGATGGCGGCTGCAGCTCCTCACAGGGAGCGGAGGGGCAGCGCTGAGCTCTGCTCTGTGTGACAGCGACAGGGCCCGAGGGAACGGCATGGAGCTGCGTCAGGGGAGGGCAGCTGGGGGTCAGGGAAAGGGGCTGCACCACAGCGCGGTGGGCTTGGCCCCAAGTGCCAGAGTTCAGTGAGCATCTGGACAATGCTCTCAGACATATGATCTGAGTTTTAGGTGGTCCTGTGTGGAACCTGGAGTTAGAATTGATCCTTGTGGGTTCCATCCAACTTGGGATATGATATTTATGACACTTTTCCAGGCTTGTGTGAGCAAGTGCAGCCATTCTGACATTTCCAAACCCTTGAGTATCTGAATTTGCAACCCAAACATTGCTGAAGCTTGGCTTGCAGCATAGACATGCCTTCCCTAAGCCTATAACTCTTGGGAGCTGAGATACTTTATTTTACCATCTGTGGTCTGTTGGTGGCTCTTCTGCTGTTCCCCATAGCTCACCTGTGCTCTGTCAAGCCAAGGAAGTCTCCTGATATGGGAATAGATGGTCAGAAGAGCATGCAAGGTTCTCAAGAGTGTATGGAAGAAAGACTCCAAGAATCTTTTTTTTGTCACAAAATCATAATCTTCACCACTATTGTGCCATTTCTCACATCCCTGGCTATCAACAGGACTGTCAGTGCTGGGAGCAGACCAAACACATCAAGCAGCAAATCTGTAAGGTGGAAGTCATTAACTGGGCTGCCTTCCTTCTCTAACACCAAAGTATAACAGACAACCCAGAAAAGGCATAAAAAGAACAAAACCAACAGTGTGGAGATGCGATCAGTGAGGATTCAATAGTGTTTAAGTGGAAAGTTTGTAAAAGGCCACGTGACCTTTTAGACAAAGGCATCGTCTCTCCCACACAAGTATTTTTTATGGACCCTGCATCTTATTTCTTGCTGCTCTGTCGTTTCTCAGTAAGACTGACATCCTGGCATGTCTTCCTCACCTCATACAAAATCCGTGACATCCTTGCCACCACTTCCCTTACAGATGCCTCCCAGTAGCCCAGACTCTTTCATTAAGGAGGGATTTATCTCCTGTGCCCCTCCATTGTCCTCTTGACTTCGTCTTATTTCTCCAGCACTCCTGCTCTTTCCCCTCCCAGTCTGGGAGGATGACACACGTTTGTCATGCAGCAGGAATATCAGTCAGTCTGTGAAGGTAGCCAGGAGAGCAAACTCAGCATTTTCTCTCCTGCAACTGACTGACCCTTCCCCTCACTGATTTGTCATGCTTTCTTCTGGCTCTGGAAAATCCCACTGGGGTATCAGAGTGCGACTGCACACCAGTCCGTGATGCTTCTTCCTGTTCTTGCAGAGCCTTCTCAGAATTTTTTCTTTAGATCCAGGAAATGATCCATTGCTTAAAATTAAAGCCTTCCTGAGTACCATCCAAACTGTGATATGGGCAGCTAACTTCACTGTACACTTTGAAAGAAATCATGGTATAGAGTGCATCGTGTTTACAGATGTCTTTTTACTAAATTTACACCCACAGTTTTTGCATAGCTGATCTCAGAAATAAGAATGGGTATACTGAAAGCTGGAAACTGCACAAGGATGGAGTGAGTTTTGTTGTTGTGTTAAGAACTGCATGAAAGAGAGGAAGCAATTAATGCATTGCCTTGGTAGGACAAGAGCTTTGAAGGGACATATACATGCTCAGTGCAACAGAAGAGAAAGTGAGAGTGCTGCAGATGACATGCTCCTTGGCATGCAAAAGAGACTTTGAGGAGATGCAACAAGGCAGGGAGAAGGAATCAAAGAGACAGCCAGACAGTCTCTGGAGCAGAGAAACAGAGAGGAACTAGGCTGGGAACTCAGCAAATCTCCCAAACTGTCACCCTGGTCACAGCTTTGGGCTTCTTCTCCCTAGGATGGACAGCAGGAAGCTGGGTTATGCTTCCACAACTTCTTGCTGCACATGCGTATGCCCAGGGGAGACTGCAGCTAAAACACACAGAGGACACACGGGACCACAAAGCATGGATAAATAGGGATTTCGCTCAGTTCAAAGTCTTGGGACAGAAAACAAGATACGGGCAGATTATGTGGTTAGATGCACTCCTGACTGTATACCATAAGTGTGTTTTAAATGCTTCATTCCTAACAATGTAGCATTCCTAAAGCATGCTCTAACGCGGGAGTCAGAGCAGCCATTATTCTTTGTCCATTCAAACAGGCAGATCTTTTCAGCAGAGTCCTTCTCTCAGCGACAGGGGCCAAGAGGACAAGAAAAACTAAAGGTGCAGAGCAGCTGGAGTGAAGAAAGGGAAACTGGAGAGAAAAGAGATCCTCCTGCCCAGTGAACCACACGTGGTGGACACACAAGGCATGGGGCAGGGGAGAGAAAGGGAGATAAAGTTATGATGAATGGCATAGGAGATGCAATTGTGTCATTAAAGGTCAGAGAATAAAAGCACAAGAGCAAAAGGAAGCCAGCAGAAGTGGAGAAATGGTGGGGGAGAACATACAAGGGGAACTGTGTTATGGAAAACTTTACAGTGGAAAGTGATGCTGGGTTTCACAGCACTACATGCAGGCAAGGCTGATTTCCAGCTCTATGGCTTGAACCTGAATCCAGTGGTTGAAATCTGCTTAGAAGTACAAACCTCATCTTCCAAGTTCTCCCAGGTAGTGATTACCTCTCCCAGGTAATAAAGAAGTTCAGAAGTTGTTACTGCTCACACTGAAGAATTTGGCACTGGCAGTAATTGTTATCGTATGCTTTTACAATGGTCCCCACCACCACCGGTATCTGAGCACGCGAGGAAGTTGACAGAGTCAGGGCAGGGAGGTGCACAGCTGCCTGCAGCATGTCATGGGCATGGCTGGCAGTCCGTAGCTCACTTCGGACAGCCTCTGCCCATACTGTGTTACAGATTGAAAAGAAAGCTTCCAGTGCACTCATTTAATTCCCGTTCACAAGCGATTATAATTTTAAGATATTTGTGAAGCGTTATCCAGAGGTACAGCAGAATTTTTTTGTACGTCAAAAGCCTTCATAAAGTGCAGGGGCTGCCTGGAAAATCTAGGTTTTAGATTGCAAACACCGTGGTATCAGAGCAGCTTTCCACTGAGAGCTGTAGCATGCGTTCATATTTCTGTTACAAATTCTCATTCAGCTGCTGAAGGAGCTAAGCCAATTCTGAGCTTCTTTTTATTTCTTCACCCTCCCCATGGGAGACCAGAGGGCAGATATTCTTCCCACTTGAAGAGCAGTTACCTAGAATTTTTGACAAGTCCTTTGTAAACAGACAAAAGAAGATTAAAAACAAATACACTTGTTAGAGTTTACTTCACTAAATACAGGATTTAAGAATAGTTAATTAATTTCTCACCCCATTTCTCAAAAAGGCTGTTATTCTTGAAGAAAAGAGCCCCTTCATCAGCAGAAAACATCACATTTGTACTACTTATTATAGAGAACATAAAATATCACTGATAAAACTATTGCAACAAAACCAAATAATGTATTTAAGTGCTCATCTACCAACATTTAAAATACTTGTTCATTTTATGTATCAGTGGATGAAAAGTAATTCCTCTAAAACTAGATCTATAGAGATCTTTTCCTGCTTTTGTGCAGTGTTCCCAGCTGGGCTCTGGTTATGGATAGTAAATGTAATGGGCAGTGTGATTTTAACTTAGAATCCAAACCTTCCTCCCCAAGATTTTAGCCAAAGAGAAGTCATAGCCACAGGCAATGACAGAACAGAAGAATTGGAAGGGCCGCCTGAGGAGCCTGTGGCTTAACTCAGTCAGTGCTTCAGTGCTTCACTTCCTAATGACTTCCGAACATCCAACCTACTTGCAGAATTACAAAATATATGTATTAGTAAAGCACTAGGAAACAATCGTTCTTAACCATTAATATAAGCTCTATTAAGCTTTTAGATTTCTCTTTTAAATACGTCTCATGTTGTTTTTTTAGCCAGTGTGTTTCCTAATTTTATCTTAGAACGCAGTCACATAAATCACTGTTTACTGCACCAATTCAGTACAACTCTAAATAAGACACATCTCTAGATCTATATGTTAATATTTTAATAGATGTAAATTCTAAGAATTGGGATGCAAGAAATACAACCCTGAAGTTGCCCACCCTCATTTACACACATTGGACAAAGGTCATTACTATAAATGAGCTCCTGTAAAGCAGCACCATCACCTTATTTTGATCACTCCCTTAAATCACATTAGATTAAAACGGTGTAGAAATCATTCAGCACTTGTCATGTAATAATAAAAAAACAGGAAAAAACCACCAACAGTATCCACAAGATACACTCCTTACAACATCGGCTATCCGTTATATAGGACAAGCTGGGCCTGAAATACACAGTGGATTGAGAACCCAGTAGCAGTGCTGCTGCAGACCAAAGAGTCACTCTGGCATCTCTGTACTGCATTCCAGTTTCTGCAAGAGCTTGTAAGGCAAGCCAGCTCCTCACAGATAAGATAGAGAAATATGACCATACCAGTGACACAGTGTGTTCACAGCCTGAGTAATCTTCCCACAGGCTATACGGCACAGATATCTTAGTCGTGGGACTCTCAGAAACTTATATCTGAATTCTTAGATCATGAGAAAGTATTTTCCTTGTCAACATGTGAACCCCTTATTACCCCTTTTCCTTTTCCTTTCCCTTTTCCTTTTTCCTTTTCCTTTTCCTTTTTTCCTTTTCCTTTCCTTTCCTTCCCAGTGTTACATTTTAAGTTAAGGATGAGAAACAGCAGTACACACAGCAGCCAATCGGGGGGGAAATTAATGAATCCAGTGTGTAATTTTCCTTATTTTAACTATTGTTTGATTTTCATTTTCAGTCTGTTCTAGGTACATTCATTCTTTTAGGATAGTTTAGATTACTGTTTATATTGAAAGGCATTCCTAATGTGGCATCAAACATCATCAGTGTTCATATTTTCCTAAATACTATGAATCTCCTTTCCAAACCAGACTCCATCTGGTAAGACAGCTCCTTAGATCTTTCCAATGCAGATCCAGTTCCCAGTCACAAACATCAAGGTTTGTTTGTCCTACCTCAGTACATGGAGGCAATGAACATCATCTCCATGCTTTAGGGAGCAGTTTGTGCCACAAGCAGGGGACTTCATGGAATTTGATTTCCTGTTGGTCTGTGTCCTTGAGATCCTTGTTCCTGCTAAGATGACCTTGGACACTCAGTTCTTTTGGCTACTTGTCCCCTTCTTTGGGCACTCCCAGGGAGTGCCAGCAGGGCAGAATACTTGGAGGTGGCATGTGCCACTGGCCTGCCCTAAGGGAAGATCCTCTCCAGCGTGGCCACCTCCTTATCACGCCTCAGTCGGCCATCAAGTCTGTAGGCTCCCTCATGTGTGCCCATGTTTCTGTTCAAAATGCACACGATTGGAAGAGCTTGCCTTGCAAATCCAGAGCAATGTTTTTGTAAAGCTACATGGTGAATATATGCTAGGTGAGTCTGGCTTGGATGGAACTGGAGGGCTATGCAGGGCTACAGGATGCAGATTTAAGAACCTGCTCCTGGAACAAGCTGTGCCTGAGCCATTCACAGATTTTGGCTTGGAAGGAGCTCATTGGTTCAATCCAAAAGGAGAATCCATCATAGAATCACCAAATGTCCTGAGTTAGAAGGTACCCATTAAGATCATCGAGTCCAACTTCAGAGAAAACTAGCCATGAAAAATAGAGAGCCCAGCTGTTTGCAAGTGCCCGTTCTCACACAATAAAACATCTGAACGATAATTTTAATGACTCAGGATTTCCTTAATTTTAACATTTCCTATGTTAATGAGAGTTGAGGACAATTTTCCGAAGTTTTGAACAAGTTATTCCTTTTCTGTGTGATTGTTTATTGTTCAGTTCCTTTCTAATACCTTTTATTTTGGGATTTTTAATTTTAATGTAGTTTTGTCATCTGTAAGTTCATCACATTATGCTTCCATTAATAAAAAGGCAAACCATGATGCATTTCCTTTTATGTTCCTGGAGCGAATCCTCAAGGATAGAAAGCCTTCTTGCTGGCTGCATTAGCAGTATTTACTCTTTGCATTTGTCATTTATTAAAAATTTTTTCCTCTGTCATCTCATTTCTTAGTAGAAATGCATGCATTAAATGTTAGATACTGGCAAAATTACCTCAGGAGTGCAGCTGGTGGAATTCTACTATCTTGGAGCCACATTCAGGATTTTTAAATCACTTTTTCCTTTCACCCTTATACAGAAAAAGCACTTAAAAATAATGGGTGCTATTTTGAAAAGACTCTCAAGCACTATGTGAGGATTTCCTTTTGATTATACATCTGACTGTCGTGTACCATTCTGCCTTGGATTCTATGGAAAAAAAAAAATCAATAAGGATTCCTGTACAGAAGATTTTACTCTGAAAGAAGTCTTCACAGAGATGTCCATCCCAGTCTTCAAACCAGTCCCACCAAGTATGGGATGGAAGCAAGCTCCTTATAGCCTACGTTATACCAATCTAGGCAGCATCTAATCAAAGAATGTAAAGCTCCACAGCTCTCATCCATCACAACTGCAGAGGAAATACCATCTCCAAAGGAATCACTGGTGAGCCTGTATCCCATCCACACATGTCCAGGAATGTAATATACTTCACTCAGTGCATGATAACAATTAAAGAAAACAAAATAACCCTTGGGTCCCAGAAAGAATTCACAGAAAATAACACAGAGAAACACCTATGTGCCCGTCCTTCCATCTTAATCCTTCTGTCCTGATCCTCAGAAGAAATCTGAAGATGAGCCTGGGAAGCATGGGCTCCCCATACTGCGATACAGAGACTTAGCAGGGAGATATTTCTAACGTTTTATAATCTCTCTTCATCACAGTTAACCTCCCTCCTTTTTACGCCAGATAAAATACAAGAGTGAATATTAGCAATCAGAAATTTAGATGGCCTTTCATGAATGCATGCTAAAAAGAATGAAAAAATCAACAACGTATTTTCTCTTCTCTGCTACAGTTGATTAATATAATGTGCTTAATAACATAGTCTCTGTATGTATGTATGTATGTATTATATAGTTTGGTATACTGTATAATATATAGTCTCCAAAGGTGTTCCAGTCTGTCTTCAAGAGAGTTACAGCAGAAATCCTCAATTTCTGAGCTACAATTTTTGTCGTTAAGTCAGAGATTACATGCTTACAATACAATACTCCTTCCAGAAATAGAGTTTAAGAGAACTTTTTCCCCCCAGTTTGCAATGGATTTGAGTTAATTAGGTACTTCTCCCAGATAATAAGATTTAATGTGACTTAAAATACTTGATTCTGAGTTTTACCAATGAGAACAAACAGTTTTGAAGGATGGTCTTTGACTGACCATTAAAAGTAAGTTAATAAAAAGTATCAACCACATGTTGGGGGTGGGAAGTAAAACCTTGATGATTTTTTCACATATATGAGTTTGAGTTGTGTCTTACATTATAATTCTTGTAAGCTCTATCAGCATCCAGATTTAGCAGCCTTAAGGCAACTCCAAGATGTTACATCTGAAAATGTTTGTATCACAACAAACCCCATGTTCCCTGGGTCCAGTCTACATTTCATACATTTATTTAAAAAAAATACTAAAGAATAAATTTATACGTAGCTTCAATAACAACTTGGACCCCAAATGTTCAAAGTACACATAAACAAGAGTCATTCTGTAGTTTCTGATGGAAAGAATTAAGCTTTTGAAGCAGTAAAACAAGGAATAGTGCTCGACTGAAGTCAAAGAGTAGCCATCTTCAGGTGCAGGACAGGTACTCGATGGGAAGACCAGCCATTTCCAGAACAGCAGATCAATCTTCAAATCATATAAATGCCCATGAGCACTAAATGAAGGGCATAAACTTGTCTGTATCAAACAGCTGTTTGCTATTAGGATGAGCATTCTCAAGTACTGAGTAGGTAATATTCGGACAGTGTGCCCCATTGTTTAGGATAAGCTAAAGAGACTGTACTCTGCAAATAATTGTTTCTGCTCAGACTCCCAGTATCACATCTAATTTCTCACCCTATCTTTCTCTCCCAGTAGCTACAGTGGCACCTCATTTATGTCTGGTACAACAGATAAGTGGTTGTCATCAAACCCACAATATGAATTACTCATTATATCTGCTCTCAGAATACTTCAGAAGCTCGGGACAGTGTGTTTCTCTTTCTCTGGACCGAGCAGTTTGTAATACACTTGCTGTCTGCTTGCTGACTAAGGGAAATGTGAATTCCAGGCTTCCTCCAGCCCTGACCACAGGCGCTGTCTTGCTAGCATGCTCCTTGTTCATCTTGCTTACTACTACAAAACTCAATTCTGTCTACACATCCTACTTTCTGAGGATCCAAATTACGTACCACCAAATGATTGCATCCTGAAAGCTATGTTTATACTCTTGGAGGATAGTGGTGTGTAATGCAGTGAGGTGGGTCATGCTCAGGGGATGTCCACTTTCCCTCATGTGTAAACTATTGGTCAACATGTTAAGAGCCTAATTTTTGCTTTGAAGTAGAGAGAGCCTTATGAATGGTTTGGACTATTACGTACGGTTTAGATCTGTGCTAAACAGCAATCAGCTGCAGTCTTTCGGCCACATGTTTTTGATAGTACTAACATTCCTTGAAGTAAGGAAAACTGAAGAAAAACTTTGAAGTCTGCCATTGCTCGATGAGATTAATACTACTGATGGCATTAACCTATGAACATCAGTCAGGATATTCACTTGAGAATAGCAAGGAATTGGTCTTTTGCAATGCTTTATAGTCACAGACTTAAATCTCTAAGAGCTGAGGGCTTTTTATAGTTCATCTACTATAAATGTTTGTTAGCAGGGGAAAAAAACAAACACAACAGTCTGAATGATTTACAATTTTTCTGTCATTTCAGAAAACAAACAATTAACTACTTTGTCTCCAAGAAGCCAAAAATGCTTTGTTGTTTTTGTTGCTTGTTTTTTGTTTGGTTTTGGTTATTCTGTTAAAGATGAACCATAAAGAGCCCTCAGTTCTTAGGGATTTTAATCTGTGACCCCTAAAAGTGCAGTATTACACTTGCATGTTAAAGTGCAAACACAGGAAAAGGCTAAAAAGTAGAGAGTCAGAAATCTGACCCTCATTTTAACTTAGGAAGTAACCAGTAGTAAGTTTAAAGTAGAACTCCAGTAGTTTAGGTTTCCAATAGAATAGTAACTTGTTGGGGTCACACTTGTCCGTTTGGTCTCAATTTGAAATTGAGGGCAGTGCAAAAGATAGAAGTAGTGATAAACCAGTTGGACTTTCACAAGTGTAATACTTGATATTCAGAAAGGCAACATACAGAGATAAATTCTTGTTTACAGCATGAACTTTGTGTCTCCCCTTGAGGTTATTTCAATATATAGAGATCTTGTATTACATTTACTTTCTCAAACTAAAATGTTAAAAACTAAATGGAAAGGGATTAGTGCCCTGAGAAAAAGCAGACTGCCTATGGATGACAAAGGGTCTACTTATGTTTTGTTTCAACAGACCAAGTGATATCTCTAGTAAAAACAGACGAGCTTTGATGCATACAAGCCCATTTTCAGATCTAATAAAAGATACTACCTCTCCTTACAAGTTTTGGCTTTCTTAAAGCCTGATACTGTTCTGGCTACAAGGACAGTGATATTGCTCAAACAACACTGTTGCTGCCATTCACCTCCTGGGTTAAAAACACTGTTAGTGTTTTTTAGTTAGTGTTAGAAGTTCCAGGAGGAGCCACTTCATATTTATCACACATTTTAAAGGCATGTAATCTCTCAGAAATGCTATCGAGCTACACTAAATACAATATGGCATAAAGCTAATCTGTGTTATGTTATGAAATGACCTGCACAGTGAAATAATGGAATATCTAAACAATTGCAGTCTTTACAAATCATCAGTGTAAAACTGAAATTTCCTTACTGTTACTGTTTTGTGAAAAGACAAATAATCATGTTTTAGGGATTTATTATTATCATTATTTGCAATGGCAATTATTTTTATAGATAACTGACGATAAGACATAGATAGCTAAGAAAAGCTTCTGATAAAGAAGAAAGCAGTGGAGGAACAGACATGTAAGTGAAGGTTCCAAACTCCTACTGCTCTGCATGCCGCACTGTTAAAGTCCTCTTTGAACTGAAACAAGCAAATAAACAAACAAACAAAACAAAAAACCACCCAACAACAAAAAAACCTTTAATCCTTTAATCCCAAGAAAGGAAAAGATAACTGACTTTATAAAATTACAGACTTCCTGCACGTACATATTTTCAGATGTAAGCTTTGCTGACAAGCTGTTTCATAAAACTTGGTTAAAGCTATTGGTACAAGATGTGACATGGAGCTGTATTTTGGTTCAATGGTTCCCTGTTGGTAAGTTGGTTCCCTGCTTACTACAAGACAATGAAGGTCCTGGCCGGTCCAGCATATTTAACCTAAAGCAGGCACTTCAGCATGGTAAGAATGTAACTAAAAGCTGGAAGGAGTTCAGGGCCAGAAGGTTGTAAGATGCTAATGTAGGAAAACAAGCTTCTTTAGTTCTACTGCTCCCGTGGCAACCCTTGTTCTCAGAAACCCTATATAACAGAAAATGAACATGATATAATATGCCAGAGATGTCATTTTGTGAACAGCAGCCCCCCTAAAGTTCATACTTATGCAATGACAAACACTCAGTGTACAGAGACACATTCCAAAAAAGTGAGGAAATGGCAGTATGTTGTGGATCTACAAAATTCTTGGCGGTTTGTTGACAGTGTTCTCATCCAGCAAATTTAGGATAACGTTGGCAAGTTTTAAGAATGGTTCCCAACTTCCCTTACTCTACTCAACAGGCTGGAAGGAAGTCAGACTTCTTCAAGGTTCGTGTGGATGAAGAGGACCATATGGTTGTCAAATCAGTTTGCTGAACTCTGTCCAAATCCTCTGAGACTGATACTTTTCACATGGACACCACATGGTTTATCCAAGGTCAATTCGGCTGGGAACCAATTCAGCAGGAAAAAGGATGCATGCTGAATTGCGGCTCCCTTCCCAAAAGATGGACAAGGCACATTTTGGGATCTGCAAACAGAAATTTTCACAACTCGTCTCTGTGATATCTTCTCAGTATTTCATACATACACAGAGTTTCTGTCTATGCCATTCCTTTAACTCTCATTTTAACAACTAAATGTTTACAGAAAAATAGAAAATGATAAATCATAGAATCATTGAGGCTGGGAAATATCTTTAAGATCACACAGTCCAACCAGCAGCCCATCACACCATGCCCACTGCCCACGTCCCTCAGTGCCACATCCACACGGTTCTTGAACACCTCCAGGGACAGTGACTCCACCACCTCCCTGGGCAGCCTGTGCCACTGCCTCACCACTCTTGGAGAAGAAATTATCACACCATATTTTTCTTATTGCAAGGACCATTCAAAATGAGCACCACTCTTTCTTCAGCTTAAGAGTCCAAGGTTCCTTACCAAATCTTTTTCTTACCGAATATCTATGATTTTTACACAAGTATGCATTATTTTTTTATAATCATAAGTATGGAGCAGAAACTGCATTTAACTCCCTAGAATCTGACATAAATCTCATTGCAACATGGCTATTAATATCTCATGCAACCAGAAATCAAAAGTAGAAAGATGAAAAGTTATGAACATGAAGAAAGGTTGCATATTAATGTTAGGAACAATAATTGCAGCAGTTCTCTCTGTAGAAACTAAGAGGAAATATCTAACTTTGACCTTTATCTTTAAAAGGAATGAGATATAGTGTAACTTCAGAACTTCAGTTTTTACAGCCTCTTGATACATTACTTCTATAAGAATTTTCTTTTTCTTTCTAATTTTGAATGCTAATTTGTATGTGCAAGGTATATATCTGGACATTATTTCCACAACTCTGTCCAATATACATGCTGCCTAAAGCAAAGTCTTGG